TCTTAATGTGCAGGTTTTCTCCCTTGTCTTTTTTGCCCCTACCTTTCAACTTAATTGTTGAAAAAGCTGGTTATTTGTCCTGTAAAATTTCTAGAAGTCTATAAAATTTTGATGAATGAATCTCCTTGGTATTTCACATGTTCCTTTACCTTCTGTGTTTTCTACAAATGGTACTTAGATCCAGATGTGTGCTGAGATTCAAGTTTGAATTTGGCAAGAATTCTTCACAGATGGTGTTCTGTATTTCCAGGTGTTTACAGAAAATACTAGATGCCATAGAGAGATATGGATAGTAAGAGTTACAGGAGTTTAGAAAATTGTGCAAGCATATCTGAGCTTAGATGATCAAAGGTGTCTGAGAGAAAGTAATTCTAACAGTAATCTTTAAATGATCGGCAAAAATTTTAATTAGGCTGATGTGGTATGAGTGGGAAAGCTATTTAGGATAGATGAAGCTGAATATGAAAACTGAAAAGTGATTGTCTGAAAAAATGTTCACGTGGAAGCAGCAATGGGAAATAAAACTACTATGGTAGTTCAGACAGGAAGAATGAAGACCTGCAGAGGGTGATGGCAGTGGGAATGTATTTACCCTTCTGTGCAGGACACCATACCCTAATGGCTCCCAATCAAAAAGAGGAGAGAAGACTCAGGGCCAAAGCCCAAAGGTACTTCAGAGCAAGGAAGGCAAAAATTGTATATCTAGATGACTCCAAGTTTTACCTATAAGTAAATATTTTAAATGTTTTCAATGGCTTCCTTTTTTTGCATTACTTTTTGTTGTTTCTATTTTGGAGCAGGTATATTTTTCTTTAATAAAAAGACTGTAGTACATTTTCAGATTTATTTTGCTTTCAACTATTTAGTCATTATATAAAGGGAGAATAAATTAAATGTGTTTTGTCATATCTTGTACCTGGAAGAAGTGCTCTAATGTTAGCTGAAAGATCAAAGTATTTCATTCTTTGGCAGCCTTAAGAATTTTTCTAATTATCAAAGGAATATGGCAATATGAAAAAAAATGGTCAAACTGCTAGACTGCACTGGGCTTGGTGCCAAAAGGAGACCTTGCTTTTCTTTTCTGTAGACACAGGTACAGGTCCTTTATGCAAGCAGAGCTTTCTGAAAAAGAAAATTCCAGTGTCTGTCTTTGAAATACTGACTTAAAATAAAAAGCTTGAATAATCACAGAGTTGAGACAGTATAAAAACAGTACCTTTCACTCTCAAGGTGGGTTATAAATAAGCATTCTAGGCCTCTGTCCACTAAAAATGTTTTTAAAGAAAACTGACACACGAGAATGCTGACAGGAGAAATAGTTTAATATATATTTGTTAAATTTAATTGTAAAACAAATGCTATTAAGTGGCAATGATTTAAAACTACATTAACAGAATATTTTAAATAATTTATGTTTAAAAGTTTGTTAAAGAATCCTTAAGAGGAGCACTAGAAGAAATTAATAAATTCTGATTTTTTCCCCCTCTTCACGTCACACAACCAATATGTTGTCCTTGTAACAAGGTTTGAAGGAGGCACATCTCACTCATGAGTGTGAAAACCCAACATCATACTTAAGACGAATAAATCCTGGCAGTTACAATGCTTATCTAGAAATATTAAGTTGGAACCATTCTAAAATACGATCTGCTGTTAAGTACAATTTTGTGAATCCTGTTTTCCAAAGGCATTGAAT